ATTCAAACATACCAATAGATCTTTATTTATCACTGACCTTTTTTTTATAACATTCCTAGTGATTTGGAATGATAAATAATAATTTAAAATGAGGGGGGCGGGGAATAAATATATTTGTCCTAAAAATTCTAATGTGAAAAAAATTCACGTTAGAAATGCATAAGAAAAATATGAGTTCTGGGGTGATTTTCTTGCCAAACAAACAAACAAACAAACAAACATCACTTTTGTCTGAAGACATGCACAGGTTGCAAAATTTGCTTAAGCATTTGAACCACTTCTTTTTCAGATAGTCGAGAACGTGCTGTTGCAGATGCTCCCCTTCCTTTCTATGTTTTACTTTCATTAAACGTCTCATCCAAGCCTGGATCTATGAGCGAGCGTTAAACAGATGGGGAGAGGAGACACAAAGAGCAGCAGCCGTTTTCAAATTCGTGGCGTCTTCTTGTGTGTGCAGCTCTCACTAGTTTTATACACTGACACCACTAAACACGAGTGGCACATCACTTCTGATGATGCTTTGTCTTTTTATTGGCATTTTGGAGAATGATAAGAGTCATAGAAATATTTAAATTATTATTACATTATAAATGCATGGAGAAATCTGCAAGCAGATGTTTCTCATAGTTATAACTCTGTCTATTACACTACAATAGAGTCTGTTAGTATAGAGAAGGTTATGATGTATCTTTAAACACTGCATTTAGTTGAAAATAACTAAGTATATAACAAATCATTTTGCACAGCCAACACTCAATATCTCTGACATTTACTGTCAAATGTGATGCAACACTTTTTATTTCTGTAATTCACGAGTATTTCATAAAATATAACCTCTATCTGTGAGCAAACACATGCTTTACCGTATCCAAAACTACTATTTTCATTATTTTCTCCCTCTTTTCAGATACTCTCTGCTCCCTGCTGCACTCCACGACTACTTTCAAAAGCTTCAGCTGCTGTTGGTTACCACCAGGTGATAAATACCGTTCCTGCAGGTAATTGAGCAGCCCTTCTGTGTGCAGCCGCACTGTGGAGCGAGTCCAGTGCATTCCCCCCCGCGGAGGTCTTCATCTGTTTCTTTTCAAGCGAGCCATCTCTGTTTCCATTTCACTCACAAATACAGACTGACAAAAAAACAGCATTTTGGATGTAATATGCTGCCAAACTGCAGCTAATTAGTTTGTGTTAACTTCCTTGATGTTATTCATTCTTACAAAAGAGAAAGGAGTTAGGTTTTGACACAGAATGTGCATATTTACATTCACCCCACCTCCCTACGTGTGAGAAGTTTGAACAGCTTGCTCAAGGACGAAAGAAAATGAAGGATATCTCAGACGTCTGAGTCCAGATCCTATTTAACTAATGGTTCAAAACAAAGTCCTCTGCTCTTGATAATGTCAGAGATTAAGTTTATATATGTAGCAAAACTTTATGGTATCAGTACTAAAATTAAAATCAATACTTTGATACTTTAGTTATTTCAAGTAATGTGTATCATCAGCAGGAAAACAGTGGAAAATAACTAAGCTGTTGAAATTCTGTTTAAATCATATGCAGGTGGAAGGAACTACTTTTTCTTCTGCTTGGTGATATATAAGCGCAGTGCCACATGCTCAGTCAGTCATTCAGTCTGTAGATGTTACAGGTATGGCAGATCATTTTAACATACAATCGGCTTCGTCTGACTGTCAGTAATTGCATGCTAAATGAGGGGTTCCCAATTTTTTTACATGCTATGGCTCCCCAAGTATTAGCTTCTGGGCCGAGACCCGTACCAACACACAGTGCTGCA